TCTATTATATTTATTATAATTACTTAAAATATCTTTATCATTTATATTATTTAAAAAAAAAAAAAAAAAATTAAAAAAACCGTAATATTATTATAATTTATTTTTATTATTATTATTAATATTATTATTATTATTATTATTATTATATTTATTTTATTTTTTACTATATTTTAAAAACATAATATATTTATTTTAAATTTGTATCTTTTTTTCAGATATTTTTTTATAAATTTTAAATATTTTTATTTATCTATTCTTTTTTTATTTATTTTTAATATTGAGTTTTTTTTTTTTTAACTTTGTTTAATTTTTTTTAATTAAATTATTCTTATGTACTTATAATATTTATCATATCGAATATTTTAAATAACAAAAATAAAAAAATTAAAAATGTTATATACTTAAATTTTCATATTTTATTTATAATATTATTCAACATATTATTTTTATAGAATTTATTATTTTAGATTTAAAGATTAACTTTATAAATATATAAAAAATTTAATAAAAATATTAAAAAATATATTGTCAATTTATAATCTATGTTATGATATTTTTTTTAGTTTAAATATCTATCAAACAAAATAAATATTAATCAATTATAAATTAAATCCATATTTAATTAAATACTTTAAATTTTATTTTAAATAATATTTTTTTTATTTTCTATTTTTATAGCTTGCATTTATTTTAAGCAAATTTTATGAGCAAACAAAATACATTGTTTCATATATAATATCCTATATCTATTTTAAATTAGTTTTTACATTTTAATATAGATGAATATTATTATTATTTGTATTTAAAAAAATAAATGTATACATAAAAAATATATAAATAAAATATTATATATATTTTTTTTTATCATTATCTATTTAATAATTATTTCATAAATTAGTATAATACTATAATGTTCTAAAAATAAAATATTTATTTTCATTTTTATAAATAATTTTACTTTGTATATTTATTTTTGTAAAAAAATATATTTTCTTTTTATTTATATATTTTTTTAAAAATTTAATATATTTAATTCTGAATAGTTATTTTTTATTTGTAAGATATTTTTTTGTTTAAAAAAATAAATATAAAATATTTTAAGCCTTTATATATATAATAAAAAACATTTATATTTTTATTTATAAAATAATATTTTTTTTTTCGAAACATTTACTATTTTTTTTTTCGAAACATTTACTATTTTTTTTTTCTTTAACAAAAAAAGCCAAAAAAATAAAATATTGAAATTTAAATTTAAGATATATTAATTAATATAAATAATTTTAATAATAAAATTAATAATAAAAATTATTTAGCAAATTTAATTAAAATATATATGCATTTTTATATAAATTAAATGTTATTTATTGAAAATTATAATAAAAATATAAAAAATAATTATTTTTAATTATATGTAATTATTTATATTATTAAATTTATAATAAATTTTTTGGAAGTGTCGTAATATTAATTTTCGCAATTATTTATAATGGTCTATACTAATTTTTTATAATATGAAGTTAATATTATATAATTCAATTTTTTTATTAATTTTGGTGTTACAAATATTTTGACGCTGCCTTATATAAAAAAAAAAATCAATTAATACTTGGAAAACTTTTTAAATCTTCCTCATCTTCTTATTATTCTTCTTATTTAAATTTAGGCATTTTTTATAAATTAAACCCATCAACATCATAAGGATTTAGAGGTGAATAATTAAACTCAAATTTTGGAGAGTTTAATAAACTAGGATATTCTAAATAATTATGTTAAAAGTTATCTTTATTATGATTATCATTTTCTCCTTTTTTATAAACGGGACTAAATAAATAGTGATTAGAAGGATGTTGTTAATTATTATTATTATTATTTAAATGAATATCATTATTAATAAAACTATTTACATTATCGTCTTATTTATTTTTCATATAAGGCATATATTCATTACTCTGATTATTAATTTATTGTTTATTATTATCAAACAATTAAATCTAATTATTTGAATTTATTTTTAAATCATCATTTGAAAATTCAATTTATTTTATTTTTTATTCTTCCATTTATGGTTCAGCACAAATTCTTTTAAAACTTTTATTTTCAAAATGTTAAATGCCCTATTTATCTCCTCCAGTTTTCATTTATATAGTGTTCCCTTTATTACTTATATATTTCTAAATAATTTATTCTAATAATTATTTATTTGTTGGATCATTGTCTTCAAGAATTTATTATATTAACCTTTATACTGAATGTGGTTAACTTAAATCTTGTTTTTTCTTATTTATTGGTAAAGATACTATTCCATTATTTTGATCAATCTTTTTTTGTTTTGTAAGTTTTTTTTTTTTTTTTACTTATTATTCTTAATTAAATTTTCTCTATTATTGTTTATCTTAATATTTCATTTTTTCTGTTATTATTATTTATTATCTATTTTAATCTTGAAATAAATTATTTATATCACAATCATCAAATACTTCTATTTTTTTTATTATAAAAAATAAATAATATTTTATTATTATTAAAAAATTATATTTTTTCTTATTTTAAACTATTTTCATTAATTTTTATTTTTATTTTTATTTACGAAAGTTCTTTTTGTTTTATTATTAATTAAAATAATTTAATGCCATATTTTAATTATTGCTAGCTGTTATTTAATTAGTATTTGTATTATTGCATTATTATAAAAAAAATCCAAGTAAAAGGAACAATCTTTCAGTCCTTTTTTCATCTACTTCACTATAAAATGAAAAAATGTTTAATAAAATAATATTTATAATAATGAAAATTACTTTTATTTTCTTAATTCTTCCCACAACATTTTATTTTCGCGCAAAAGCTATTCGTGTTGTTGAATAAGCATTTTCATTGCGATATCTAAGTCATGTTATTTATTTTTAAAATTTAACATATCATTTAGAAAATTATTATAATCTTATTTAAAATTTCCCAAAATTTCTTGTTATTAATTAACTAAACTGATTAATTAATTATTATTATTATTATTAATTGTATTATTGTTAATATTTGATGTATTACTACCATTATATAAATTTAAATTTTAGTTGCTTTCTTAATCTTTTTACTATTAAAATTCATCGTTTAAATTATTATCATTATTTTTCCTTTTAATTTCTGTCAGTAATTATCTATATAAATGCATTATTATTTTTTAAATTAATATATAAAAGAAAAATTAATACAAATATTTAATAAGATATAATTTATATATATATATATTTTTTTTACTTTTTCCCTTTTTAAAATAAATCGTTTTTATATTCAGAATCACCGCTCTCATTTCTTACTTTATGAAAGTCGTACATATTTAACTTAATAATATAAATTTATATAAATAAAAATATTAATTATTTAATTGCTTTTTAAAAAAATACTTATCGCACGAAAGATGCATAATTATTATGTTTAAAATATTATGGCAATAATTAATCTCGAAACGCATTTTATTTTCTTATTAAAAATGATTTTCCATCTTCATTCCAACAAACAATATCTTAATAGTTTTAATTCTATTATTTTTATAATATTACTATTTAATTATTAATGTTATTTACTTCTAACATTTCGTATGTTTTTAGCAAAAATGTAGGTACAGTCGTCCTTGTTCTATTTTAAATGGGTTTTTTTTGTGTTTGCTTTAAAAAATAAGGCATATGCTAAATCATTTTGTTGAAAAATTATATATAATAAATATTTTTTTATAAATTTTATGTTTATTATAATAATATAAATTTTTTATATAATAATCAAAATTAAAAAAAATATATGAATAAAATTCTCAAAATTATATTAAAATGCAATACTACATACATATATTCATTATATTTTAATATTTTTTCACTAAAAATTAAATTTTTTAAAACAAAAAGTGAAATTATTGAATAGTATAAACTTTTACAAAGAAATGAATTTATATTAAAAATTTACAAAACAATAAAAATATTTAATTTTATTTTAAAAAAAATAGATTACTAGATTTTATTGATGTTTCATATATTTTTATTTGTATTTATTAATATTATTTTCTATTTTTTATTATTTATTACTATTCTAAAAAATATTAATACTTGTATTTATTATATTTTTTAAATAAATTAATTTATAATGAAAAAGAATTTAAGTTAAAACAATTAGTTTAAAAGTCAATAAATTATATAAAATCATATTTTTTTAAATTCTAATTCATATTTTAATTTTAGATTAATATATTATTAATGGTATGAAAAATAAATTTTATTTGAAAAAAAAAAAATGCAATAATAATAAAATATAATTAAAAAAAAATTTCAGTGATCATTATAATTTTCATAGTATTTTTCTTTTAATTTCAAAGTATACCAATCTGCCAACTTAACCGTATCTTCAAACCTACTATCTTAATTTAAGGATCCTAAAACAACAATAATTAAATTAGCCTACTCATTTTTATTAAACTCATCCAAAAAATCAACATACCATGAACTTAAACAAGCCCCTGCAATATTAGTAATTCCCGTTTTTACCCCTTTAAACCCTTTATCTAATAATTTATTAGTATTTTCCCAAATAATATTTCTTTCTGTAACTTTATCATTTAACTCTACAAATTTAATAGTTGCTTAATAACTTTTCGTGCTGCAAATTTTTCTAAACTCTTCATTTTTTAAACATTAAAAAGTTAACTTTGCCACATCTAAACTAGTAGAGTAATTATTTTTATTATTCATACCATGAGGATTGGAGAATTTCGTATTTTTAAGTCCAAAATCATTACATAAATTATTCATTTACTATAGGAAAAGTTACAAATAATCACTTATATAAGCATCCTCTGTTACATCTACTGAATGAATTTCTTCAAAAAGTTTACTCTACCCAATACTCTCAAAATAAATTAAGCACCCAAAATTTTCCGCTAAAACAACCGAAGCATCATTTCCACTAGGTAACATTAAAGCATATAATAAATCTTGAACCAAAACCCATTCATTTTCTTCTAATTTAGAACTAGTGCCCTTTGTTGATGCTGCGTTTTCAGATACACTAAAATATAATTAGGTAGGATTTATTTTAAATTTTTGAATTAATTTTAAGCATACCTGTAATGATGCGATTTTGGTCAATGATGCTATTTCTCGAATTTCGTTAGTTTTATGTCCTTTTTAAAATTTACCGGTTTTGCCATCTATTATACACCATGATTTCGCTTAAATACAAGGAAAGGCGTCATGATGTTAGGATATAATGCTGTTGTTTTTTTGGAGACTTTAGTCAATTTTTAATGTGTTAAAACCGATTTTTGATAAATAATTTATGGTTTTTTTTTTTTTTTTCAATTGTTTTAGATTGTCATTTATATTGAACATATATTTATTTTTATATAAATATAAAATATTTTATTTATTATTTATATATGTACAATAATTTTATATTATTATATGCACGAATTTACGTTATTTTTTGTTTTGTTTTGTTTTTTTGTATATTATTTTATTATTTTTATTAATTTATTTATACATTTTATTTTAATCATTATTTTATTTAAAAGAAAAATATAAATAATTAAAATATATTTTTGTTTAAAATAATCATTGATATAAGAATTATAATAAGAATTTATTACTACATAATATTTTTTGTTTAAACAAAAATATTTTAAAATATATTTAATAGAAAAATAATATTTCATAATATTATTTTTTAATTAAAATAAATTAATTTCTTAAAAATAAAAATTAATTTTTATTTATTTTATAATTAATAAAATAAAAAATTATTATATTTAAAATTTATAATAAATTAATAAAAAATATTTTATTATATAATTTTATTATTCATTTAATTAAAATAAATATTTGAATTTTTATTATTTAGATATAATTAAATAGTTCAAAAAATTTATAAATAATATATATTTATAATATTATTCATTATAATCATAATAAATATCAATTATAAATGTTATAATAAATAAATTTTATTTTTAATTATATTTTATAACATTATTATATTTTTATATTATAAAATTATACTTAAATAATTAAAAAAATGAATGAAATTTTAGAGAATACATAATAATATTAAACATTTGTAAATTATAACTTAAAAAAAAAAATGTAATAAATATAAATAAAAATAGTTAAAAAACAACAAAAGATCATAAATGCATTAAATAGCAATTCATAAATGGTTGAAATAACGATATAATTTATAAGCAAGCAAAAAATATTTATTATTTCCCGAAGAGTTAATCTAAGAGATGAAAATACGTAAAATTTTTTTAAAATTTGACACTGATGGTTCTAATGCATTAGATTTAGAAGAAATGGTTGTAATGTTTTAAAAATATAATATACAAATAAGTAAGGAGGATCTTGAAAGCTTTTATAAAATAGTGGATAAAACTGAAGATAATGCCTTAAATTATTAAGAGTTTAAAGAATGTGCAATATCAGATTCTGCAAATTAAGCTTTTTCTAAAATGATGAAAAATGTAAGAAATTTCGAATAGTAAAATTTGCCTTAGGAAGAAAGAAATATTTATTTACCTTAAAATTTTTCGGATATGATAACTTATTTATCTTATAGAATGAATAGAGAAAATTTATAAAATTTCATAAATGAAAAGGGAAATAAGGCAACCGAAAAATACGATAGATTTATGTAATTAATGAATTTGGATGGAATAAAAAATATACAACAAGTTAAATAATAAAAAAGTAATTTCGATAATTTTCTTTAACCTATAGTTACAAATAGTAATTAAAAAATAGATAGTTTTTAATATTAAAATTATAATATGGAATAGTTGGAAAAGGAAGAAATGAAAATAATTGCCAAAAAAGCGCTTTTAAAAGGTAAAAGTGAGGCTTTAAAACTTAATGAAAATATTTAAAAATAATTCGGAAGTATATAAAATTTTAGAAGAAGTTGTTTGAACAAAATTAATATGAATATGAAAAGCAGTTCAAATATTAATTCAAATAATGCAATAAAATAACATTCTAAAAGTACACATTTTTAAAAAGATTTTAGAATAAAATCAAATACAAAACGTGCTCCTACTTTTGATATTTTTAGAAATACGAAAATTAATAATTAATAATAATAAAATGTCAATTGTTTGTCTTCAAATATAAGGAGAATGAAAAATATTATGAATTAAACTTTGTAATAATTAAAAGATAACCAAAGTAGATTTTTGCCTTAAAATATTAGATAAAATATTATGCAGTAAGGTTGTTCTAGATTAATATAATAAACAGTTTAATAAAATATTATTGATCATAAATTAACTGAAAAAGTTCTCAAAATAGAAAGCTTTTAAGGATAAACAAATGAGGAGTCTAATATTATTAATTAAATTAAAAATGATATTTTATCTTAGTTTTTATTTAATAATTCTTAAGCTAAATAAAATATCGAAATTTTTTAATGATTAATTACTTATTCATAATAAAAAATATTATTAATAAATATATTAAAGATATAAATTATTAAATTTTATATATTTTTTTGTAAAATTAAGTTATCTTTTGTAATATAATATTATTAAATATAATATAAATAAAGTTTATTTTAATTTTTTTAAAATTATATAATTCAATAATATATGATAATAAATTTTTAAACATAAAAATATAATATTTTTTTTTATATTTATTCTTATTTAATGTTTATAAAATAAATAAATTTAATTTTTTTTATATATATTTATTAAAAAAAATTATTAATACTTTATTATAAGTAATTTTTTAATAGTTAAATGTGTATTTTTATTTTATTTACAAGCAAAAATCTATTAGAGAAAGATTAAGGAGACAATTCAGATATATTAACATCCAAAAAATGTTTCAAATTTTTTAGAGTAGATTTTCATTATATTTGTATTGTTATAGTTACATATTGAAGACTAATTAGAATATATAGTTTCTATTTATTTTAGCTTCCATCTATAAAAAAAATAGCTTTAACAATACAGGCTTTGCATTAGTTTAAACATTATTTTGTTTTTAATTGTAATATCCTAAATATTATTTAATATTATAAAATAAAAATAATTATCTTGAAAAACATTTTATTATTTTTTTATTACCGTATATATTATCAAACTTAATTTTAATTTTCCTTCATTTTAAATTTTTGCAAAGTTTATTATTTTGCTTATTAAAATTTATTATTATTAATCATATTCTCCATTGAAAATAAACTAAGTAAAGGTATGTTTAAAATAATATTAATTTTTGAGCTGGCTGCAGTTTAATATAAACTAATATACACATATAAATTTTTATTCATCTGTGTAATTTATTGTGACTATTTAAACAGAGTAAATTATAAATATATATATATAAATATATATATATATATATATAAATAAAAAATTATTTCTAATTAAAGTTTATGTATATAGATAAATATATAATAGATTAATTTAATAAACACTAGTTCAAAAATTAAAATTATTTGCATATTAAATATTTTCTATTTTATATAAATAAAATAATCTTATATATTTTAAAAAATTAGAATTTATAAATAATAAATATTTATCTTAATAGCATATTTATTTTAAAATCTTATTAATTAAGGTTTTTTTTAATTATAGTGTATTTATAGAGATATACATATATAATAAATATATTTAATTTAAACTATTTTGAAAATTTAAATTATTTGCATATATTCAATAAAACCATCAGACATAAATTAAAAAAATTTCATAGATTAAATTTTTTAAATCTTAATCAATATTTATTTAAAAAAAAATATGATTTAGTTATTTTTTAATTATAATTTATAAATATAAATTAAAATAAATTATTCAATAAATTTAATTTTCTAATTTCCTAATTTGCGTTACTTTGATATTAAATATGTATTATTTTATATTAACAAAATAATCATATATATTTCAATTTTATATATAAATAAATTATAAATTAACATATTTATTTATATCAATAATTATGTAATATTCATAATTATTATAAAAAATTCTTAATAATTTAAAAATATAAATATTTAATATTTTTTACTTTACTTATATTGAGATATAATTATTTAATTTTTTTTTTTATGTAAAATTAAATTTTATTAAAACAGAACAAATTATACATAAATGTATTTAAATTTTAGTATAATTATATATTATTTTATATTAATTTAATTAATATTTAATTATATTTTTTTTTATTGAAAATTTATCATTTAATAATTTTTTTAATTATTATTTATTTATAATTATAAAATAAATACTTAAAAAAGAATTAGATATTAAATATTATTTTTAAATTAATAATAAATATTATATCTAAATAAATATAATTTTACTTTTTCTGAAATAAAAAGCTGTATATTTAATTTAATAAAATATTTAATATAAACAAAATATTAATAATAATTATATTTTTTAAAATTGTATATACAAAAACATAATTTACAAGATTCCATACTAAAATAAATAACTAAACAAATTTATAACTAGTAAATCCACTAGAGAAAGTTAACAAAGCTTTTCTTGACATGCTGAAGCCTCCACAGTCAAATATTAATTCTGTATAGTAATGCTTTAATCCATTTTTATTATCAGGATTACAAAATTTAATATTTTTTTAAATTTTTTTACAATTTACAATTATTAACATTCAACTTCAAAATATATACATTCTATTTGTAATGTAAATTATATGATTTTTTTTAATTATTTTATTATATATTTTTTTTTTTAAATATTAAAAATAATTATTAAATAAATTTAAATTTATTTATTTAAATAAAAAAAAAAGCATAACATAAATAATATTATACCTTTTAAAAAAACAAAAACATCATTATTATTAAAGATTTATCATTTATGTTTAACCCATACCAGCTTAAGATTAATTAATATATGTTGGAGGAGTAGGTTTAATACCTTATTAAATCATATACTTAACAAGTTAATCTGGTACTTCTGCCAAAACTTACTAGGCCAAAACAATTGGATTTTAATTAGCATTTCTAAAAGGAACAAATTAAACTAAATCTCTTGAAGGTTTTCTGCCTCCTTACCCCGCTAACTGTCCATTATCTCCATCTAACTTTTACATATTATCAAATTAAGAATTTCCTACCCCAATAATAATTACAGACAATGGTAAATTTGAAGCTTCAATAATTGCCTCAATAGTATTTTCCATATCATGAATTTCACCATCAGTAAGTATTAAAAGTACAGTATATATTTAAGAGCCTTAACTTTTACATAAATTAGCTAATTTTAGTGTCTCTTATAGAATAGGCCCGAATAAAGTGGGTCCACTTAAACTGACATATTGTAAAGAGTATCTATATAAATTTAAAATTTCGATTGTTCCTAAAGCTTCAGTGTCTTATGGATTTCCACTTAATGGAAAACAATGTGAAACTCCGTTTAAGTGAAAATTTGGAAATTTAGGATGGCCACCAAAACCATAACAAGGAACTTTTTTATCAAAATCATAATCAAGTAAAATTTCTCCAACAGAAAGTATAGCTTATTGATATTAATTTAATTATTAATTATTTGGGTTTATATAATGCAATCTAAAAAATAATAATATATAAATATATGATTTATATATATATATATATATATATATATATGTATATATATATATATATATTTTTTCTATTATTTATAATAATTCTTTTTGTTATTATTAAAAAAGTTAAAAAAAAAAACATTAAATTTATATTTTAAAATTATTAAAATAAAAAGGTGAAAATAAGTAATTGTAAATAATAGAATTAATATATATATATATATATATATATATAAATATATATATATATATAAATAGTTATTTTTACGAATTAGGTTATTAAATAGCACCATTTGAAGCCGTAAAATCAACTGCTAAAACAACATTTATTTATGTGTTTCCTCTAATATAATCTAGAAAAGTAGGTCTCTCAGTTAAATTAAAATTAATTAATTATAAATTCCCTGTTTTTTTTTATTTACTATCATATAGTTCGAATTCTTTTTTCCCATTTAACAAATCTTATATAGAAAATTGACATTCGCCTATAAATTAATGATTTTAGTTTTTTTACCAATCCCAACATTCTAATTTTATAGGCCTATACTTGTCGCCATTGTATAACTTTTATCCTGTAATCTCAAAAGGCTTCCATATAGGATTAAGATTGTCCATAATAACTTCTGTTTCATGACTAAGGAATTACATTTTGTCTTCACGAACTCTTTTAAATCTCAAAAAAGGGTCACTTTTATCAAATAAGCCGTCAACATTTTTCAATTTAACGCCTTTCCATTGCATATAAATATGATCTCTGCAATCTTAGGTAGCTTCTGATAAAATTACTATATTACCAGCTGATTACCCTTTCCTTTATATATCGGCTATATATATGTTATTTTTGGCTCCAACTATTGCCCCTATTGTTGTTTAACATTCACCAACTTCATCAAAACTATTTTTTCCATCGTCATCGAGTACTTAAAATCTACATTATTGTTTTACTTCGAATATGTAGTCGACTACAAAAGTCTTTTTGAAATTTGGGTTAAGATTATCTTTAATTGTTTCAGTTCTACCTATTGTTATCCATTAGTTTGTTTCGGCATTTTTCATTTAAAATTAAACAAATGGATCAGATTTGGAAAAAAAATCCATATTTTTTAGCTTGCGGCAGCTTATCGATATTTCTATTTTTTTGTAGTTTTATTCGATGTTCATATTTTTTTTTATATATTTTAAATTATTTTTTATAAAAATATTATTATTTATAGTATGTAATTATTATTATATATTTATAGTAAATAAAAGATTTTTTATTTTATAATGTTTGTATATATATATATATATATATAAATTATATTTTTTTATATATATATTTAAATTTAATATCTATAATTTATAGTAGAAAATAAAAATATAAAGTTTTTTATATGTTTTATTTATTCATTTTTTTATTAACTATTTTTCTAATATTTATAATAATATTAGATTTATTTAATATAAAAAAAATACAATTTATTATAATATATTAGAAAAATCGCCTTTTTAATTTTTGTTATTTTGTAAAATATTATATCAAAAATTTTTACTGATAAAATTTAAATATATATAAATATATAAAAATCATTTTTTATGTTTTTGTAAAATATAAATATTATATATATTTAAATAAATGTAATTAAAGAAAATTTTATATCAGATTAAAATATAAAATATATTATATGAAGATAAATTTGATTTTAATTAATTTATTTATTAATTATTTTTTTTTTAAAAAAAACAAAACTTTTTAATCATAAAAATTAAAATATAATTAAAAAAATGAACTAAGACAAACCAATTAACATATGTATTACAGGAGCAGCTGGAAATATTGCATATGCCATGTATCCTTTATTATGTAGCGGTTAAATATTCGGTCCTAATTAGCATATGAATATAAGATTATTGGACATAGAAGTGTAAAAAAAAATACTCGAAGGCGTAGTAATGGAATTACATGATTGTGCTTTTGAATTAGTAAATAGTATAGAATATGGTTTTGAACCAGAAAAAATGTTCAAAGATATTGATATAGGTATATTTTTAGGGGGGGAATCAAGAAGACCTGGTATGGAAAGAAGAGATTTATTATAAGTAAATTATAAAATATTTAAAAATTAGGGAAGAGTATTAAATAAAATGGCTAAATAAACAACTAAAATATTAGTTATTGCTAATCCAGTAAATTTTAATATAAATAAATATTAATAGACATATATATAATTTATATATAGGTTAATACAAATTGTTTAGTTTTGCTTGAAAATTGTCCAAATATTCCAAAAAAAAACTTTAGTTGCTTAACTAGACTAGATCATAATCGAGCTTTAGCATAATTATCAATAAAAGCTCAAACAAAAATAGAAAATGTTAAGAATGTAATTATTTGGGGTAAATAAAAAATAAATAAATATTTATTTATAATTAAAATATTATATTATATATGCATTTTCTAAGGAAATCATAGTTCAACTTTATATCCAGATCATAATCATGCAATTATCGGACAAGAAAAAGCTATCAATATGTTTGATGAATAATGGATAAATAATCACTTCATTCCGAAAATTTAAAAAAGAGGTGGAGAAGTACTTAAGGCTAGATAAAATTCATCTGTTTTAAGTGCTGCAGTAGCTATAAAAGATCATTTAAAAAATTGGATTTTTGGGACTAAAGATGGAGAATTTGTTTCTATGGGGGTTTACTGTGACGGAAGCTTCTATGGTTTACCGTAGAATTTTGTTTTTTCAGTACCAGTAATTTGCAAAAATTTCGATTATGAAGTTGTAAAAGATTTATAAATAAGTGAGGTATAAAAAAATAGAATTATGGATAGCTTAAAAGAGTTATAAGAAGAAAAGGAAGAAACATTACTTGAAGATAATGAAAATATAGATGATGAAGAATAAAATGGGGAATAATAATAAAATAATTCTTGAAAAATTATTTTTAAAATATATGATTTTAATAAATATATATATAAATATATATATATATTATATATATATATATATATATATATATATATATATATATATTAATAATCCTCTCATATTTTTAATTTATTTTTTCTATAATTTATTTTAAAATAATAATAATCAATAAGTGAGTAAAATAAATTAAGTAATTTAATGATTTAGATTGTTATTTTATTTTTATCAAAAATTTCGACAAAATGTTATATGTTATATTATTGATTTATATACAATTATTTTCATATTTTTAACATTTAACATTATTAGTTGTATATAATTAAATTTATATAAATATTATTTTTAATATTTATTTTTTAAAAACAAATTAATTTTATCATTATAACAAATATTTATGTTTTTAATATAAAATAATAAATATAATGTCAAAAAATATTATATTTAAAATTAGAATAATATAATTAAATATAACAAAATATAATTATCATCTATATTTGTAATTATATATTTAATTATATAAAGAAAAATTAAAAATATATATATTTTACTTTTTATTTTTCTATTTATTTAGATTTCTTATTAAATATAATTACTAATAATATATATCTATTGATATGATTAAATATTTTGATTTATATTTTTTTTTTCTAAATTAAAAATAAATATTATTTATTCTATATTTTAAAAATATATTATTATAAAAGTTAATTTTAAAAAAATATTATATATATTTTTAATAAAAGAATATCTTTAGTTTTTAAAATTTTTATTTATATATACATTATTTTTATTTTTATTTAAAAAAATTAATTAAAAACAAAAAAAAAACCTTTAATAAAAATGATGTGCGGTGGCCATTAAGATAAAGAAATTACATAAGGAGATAAAGATTTAGTTTAACATCACTTAAATGACATTAACTAATTACTTGGAAAAAGCTATACAGGTTTACAAGTCAATTCGGTTTAATAATAGGTTGTTGCAGGAACTAATTATACATTTGTTTTAACAACTAATGAAGGAAATAAAATTGAAGTAAGAGTTTTCAAACCTTTACCTCATACAAACTAGCCTACATCTGTTACTTATGCTAAGGACGTTTGAAAAAAAAAAAAAAAAATTATTTTGAATATATATATTTATAGTTTTTATTTTTTATATGGTTTTAAAAGATTTTTTTATTATAAATATATATATTTAAAATATTATTTTTAATATTTTTTATGAAATCTATTTTTTAAAAAATATTTATTAACAAAAAATAATTTAAAATTAATTTTTCTTTTCTTATTGTGATAAAATTATTAAAAAACTAAAATAAAATATAAAAAAATAATATTTATATTATTATATTTTAAGTATATAATAAATTACAAATATGTTAAGAAAATAATATATTATATATTTTTATTTATAAATAAATATTAAAAATGCATATTTTTAATTTATAATTTAATATTATTTATGATATTATCTATTCTTAAAATTAAATATACATTATTTTATATTTATCTAATTAATAGGAAATTTATAATGATAAAGAATATTATATATATAAATAAAATTAAAAATATATATAAAATAAAAAAAACTTTTATATTTATATTATTAAAGTAAGAAAATATATAAATAATATTAATCAATCATCGTCTATTTCTTATTCTTCTTCTTCATCATTTTCTTCGATAATAATTTATTCTATTTAAAATTATATAAATATAAAAATTAATAAAAAATTACAATCTTATTCAGTATTTAATTTAAACATTTCTTTTAAAGAAGGTCCATCAAATTTTTCATCAAAAATAAGCAAAAATTTATTGTTTTCCAGAAAATTTTCAGGAACATAATTTTTTTTATCAATATTCCAAACATTAGGTTAAGGAGGTGAAAAAATAGGATCAATAGCAATTCTTTTTTTTTTTTCACAAAAAAATATAATAAAATAAAATTAATTAAATTAAAATAACCTAAATGAATTTTCAATCATATTAGGGATTATTTTAGCTAATAAAGGCGAAGATAATTCTAAACAAGGATTAGTATTAACTTCAATAAGCCAAGTTTTAAAATCATCACTAATCATATAATCAAGTCCGAAAATTTCAAAAGACATTTCCCTTCTTAAAGGATCGATTTTTAAAAAAGTGGCTTTTACGCAATCTAATGCTTATTACTTTTTAATTTATTTAAAAACATTTTATTTTTTTTTAAAAAAAAAACTTTCATTTTCTGATAAACTTATTAATGAAAATTAAACTTTTATTCGGGATAATTTGAATCTATATATATTTAGAATTCATTATAAGAAAGTTTATTTCCAAGTTCATATTTTCCATAATCATCGCATTTTTTTTAAACTGCGTCATTTGTTAAATGTATCATTCGATTTGTTAAATTTTTACAGTTGAATTCTTTACAACTTGTTCTTATATATCCATCTTAATACCAATATGCTTTTAAATTTCCTTTTACTACACAGATTAATAAATAACATCTAATGTCAAATTTTCTCTATTATTTATTATATTAAATTTTTTTTTATTTTTTTTTACTTTTTGATACAATAATGGATTATCTATATATTTTTATACTATATATGTTTTAGGTTTTCCATTAATGTAATATTCCTATATATTCAATTCTAATATATATATAATTTTTGGTATTTTTTTTTTACATTTTTGCGTAATATTTATTATATTTATTCCAAATCGTTAGTAACTGTTATTCCTATTCCTCTGTTTGTGACTTCACCAGGTTTAATAATCCAAATATTTTTAGGTTTAACCATATTTTTTTATTACAATTATTTAGATTTATCTTAATAGTATTTACATTCAAGCCTAATACGTATTTTTTCTTTACATTCCTCTTCTTTTTGTTTATGAAATTCCATAAATTTATGATATTCAGGATCATTTAAACCTTCTTTTATATGAAAAGTAATAGGAATATTATCAAAAGGATTTTATTTAATAGCTAAATAATAATGCTTTAAATTAATGAACATAGCTTTTTTATTAGATAAATTCCAATTATTCTCTAAATGATTATGCATTTTTATAGAATTAAGTTCTTCAAGAATACTGAAAGATTTATTCTATTTTTTGAATAGATCTAAATTTTATTCTTTAAAAAATTATTTTAAATCTGAATTTATATTTGTAATTTATTTAATATCTATTGGATGAACTATTTTACGAATTTATTAATTATAATTCAATAATACTTTTAAAGAATTTTAATTCATGTTGCCTCTTACGCATGGAGTTAATGATCTTGAAGAAGCTTCCTATTTTAAAATTTATAAATATATTTAAATAGATATATATAAAAACATATATATATATAAATATATAATTTATTAACATATTTTTATTATTAATAAATTATACTTTCATATTATATATTATATTTATTATTTTAGTTTATATTTTATCTTTATACTTAATGTTATGTTTATGATGTATTATTTGTTATACTTTATTACATAAATGAATTATTTAAAGAATTTGATTTTATTATTTTTGGAAGAGCAGTTAGAGCTCTTTATTTATCGTTTTCTATTATTTCTTCTTAATAAAATAATTTCATTATTTTTAAAATAATAATATTTATATATATATTAAATATTTATACCACTTTCTTCACAACTTGAAGCACTTAATTATTATTAATATTTAGAAAATTAGTCATTTATTTAAGAATTATTATATGGTTTTAATTAACAAATTACATCATTTTACCTTAATTAAGTCCAAATGATATGACATTAATTTTTTTACTCTTTATTTGTCACTAATTATAGCCAAAACCTTTGTTTTACACTTTGTTATACTAAATTACAATTATTTCCAGTTCCAACATAAATTTTAAAAATATTTTTTTATTTTTAAAATGGAGAAACTATATTATTTGAAAAATTTATAATATTAAGAAAAAGATGATATTAGTTTATTTTTTCCAATTCTCTATTTTATGCTTCACTTGGTTATGTTTTTTAGGTGGTTTTATTTTTCTTTTTTATTTCTATATATTGGTTTTTTTTGTTTTGAGAATTATTTTTTCTTCTTCTACTTATTTTTTTATACACATGACTTGACTTTATTATTATTAAAATTTAATTTCTTCTTTTTAAATATTCTCCTTTTTAGCTTTAGGGGTCGCAGTTTCATTTATTTTACGTTTTTATTTATTAATTCTTAATAAATTATTATTATAACTATTGCTACACATACACTTTTTGAAGCTCTCTTTTATTTTACAATTGTTTAATGGCTTTTCTTTTTAAAGTAATTATATTTATTTATTATATTTCTATATTATGTTATCTTGTTTTATACATCTAGAATTAAATTAGTCTAATTTTTCGTTTGTATTATTTTCAAAACCTATTTCTATATTGGTTTTTATATCTTCTATTTTTATTATATGAGATGTTGAATGGCTTCTTGAGTTTTCTTCTTGATCATTTAGATCATTTGTTTTCTATTCAGGATTTTCCAATTTTAATAGGTTTATATTTGAATCATTTTATATTTCGCTTGATAATTTTATTAATTATGTTGCACTTTTAATTATTTATGAATTTTCTTAATTATTTTACGTTTCTATTTCTATTTAATTTAATTTTTCTTTTAGTTTTTTCTTTTATTATAATTTAAAAAATAATTATATTAAAATTAATAAGTTAATTTTATATAAAAAAAAACCCTAAAAAGTTTCTATTTTTTACTTTTTCAATATTTTTCATGCTTTAAATCAAACTTTATTAAACATTTATTGGTGGAAATTTGTTTACTTTTTTTATATTTTAATTAATATTTATATATAATATTGTTTTATTAAAACATTCTTTTTTGTTTTTTATTTATTCCGAATTCGTATTTAAAATATTTTCTTCACTTTATAATGATTTTCCTTTTTTATTTATTAAAAGAAAAATATATTTATATAAACATAAATAAAAATTTAAACCTAATTCTTAGTATTTTAATTTTTTCAAACTGTATAATTAAGTTTTATTGCTTGCATACTTATATATGTTTTAATTTTCGTTTTAAAATATTTATTAAACAGGAATAATTCTTTATATTTTAAAGATAAATTAATCATCCTACACAAGGTCAATGTTTTAGTTTTATTTTTTTTGCGATTTTAGATTATTTTATTAAAAGTTTGTTTATTATTTTATTTTATTTTACTTAATGTTTTTTTAGGACTTTTATTAGCTTTATATACAATTTTTTACTATATTATATTCCATTTATTCTGTTTGCATTTCTTAATATGATTATTATTATTAATTACAATTATTGAGCATTTTTATTTTTAATAATTATTTAATTTATAAATATATATTTTGCTTATAAAAATAATTTATTTATATTTTTTTTAAAAAAAATATAATATTAATTAATTATATAAATAATTTATTTTAGTATTAAAATATTAACAAACAAAGTTTTTATTTTTAACGTACTTTTTTTTATATATAATATGGAATAAATATATTTTTAAAAAATGAAAACTTTATATAGTATATATTTATTAATATAAATTAAATTAATTAAAAATTTATTATAAAAAATTAAAATTTTATAATTAAACAACAAAATTATAAACTATTTTTAAAAATATATAAAAATCTTAAATAAAATTAAAAAAAAAATACATTTTTTTATCAAAATTAATAAATAAATAATATCAATTTTTATATCAAATAAAAAAAAATATTAAGGGAATATTTTTATATAGAAAAAAATCAATTAAAGTTAAATAAAAATTAATATATATTTTAAATTATATTTTTTTTTTTTCATTATTTATTGTTATTAGTATATGTATTACTTTTTGATTTATTTCTAAGCATTTCTCTATTTTTCTAATAAAAAAAAAAATTCAAACAAAAAAGTATTTTTATTATAAATTAAACCTGATCTAATTCTTTTATTTTATTATTTCTTTCTTTGAAAAAATTTTATTTCATTTTTTATTTTTCTTATTGTTATTTCTTTTGTATTACTTCTGGAAGATTATTGTATTTTTTTTTGGTTAAATTATACATTTCTTTTTCATTAATCTAAAAAAAATAAAAAATTAAATAATAAAAATAATATTTTTGTTTACTTAAGGTTTAACTCCTTATACTAGCCGAGTTAAAATTTATAGATTTTTATTTGTTTGTAAAGGAGACACTGAAACATTATTACTATCTTGATTAATAAAAAAGAGTTAATTTTATTAAATTATGTTTTCATTTTCATTATTTTCGCTTATACTTTTTCTTTATCTTTATTTTTTTCCATATTATTTCATTAATTCTCTTAACTTCATCATTTCCTCTTTTGTTCTTTTCGTTTATTATTTATCTTCTGTACACTATTATGTTTTTTTTTATTCTTATATTTTTTGTGCAAGTTTTTATTTTTTTTCTAAAAATATTTCTGCTAAACTTTTTTAATTTTCTTAATTTAATTCTTTTAATTCTGAATTATTCATTTGTTTTAAAGATTCTTTATTATTTTTTTATATTTCTTCATAATATTATTATTATATTTGTTCCTAATTTTATATATTTTATAAAATAATTAAAATTTAATTACATTTTTTTCTTAATAAATATTCAAAGATTATTATATTTATAATTAAAATTACATATTGTCTTATTATTATTATTATTTTTTATTTTAATTTTATTCTTTTAGTTAATATTATTTATTATTTTCTTAATAAGAATTGTATTCATTCTAATATTAAGAAAAATATTCATTTTATGGCATTTAATTTTAATCTTAGAATTAATTATTTATAATTTTTCCACTTTAAAACTACTCAGAATTTTAATTTTATCGGTCATTAATTTATTATTAAATTTAATTATTATTTAAATTATTAGATTCAATTAATTAATTATTACTAGAAATTCTAGAAATCATCTCCTAATTATTAAATTAATAATTTTTACTTAGTTATTATTATTCCTATTGTATATTTTATTCTTCTAATATATTTTATTTTTTATGATATTGAATAATATAATTAGCTCCTGTTTTTACAGGTTAAGTTTATTCGTTTGAAACATTTATTTAATGATAATTTTTATTATTTTATTTTTTTTATGATGATTCCTATGAATTCTAAAAATTTTAATTATTTTATTAAAGTTCTTTTTTTAATTCTAAATAATTAATAATAGTAGGTTTTTCCTGATTATTTTGATTGCATTAATTCTTTTATATACTCATATTATTTATTTAAAGCTAATTTAATTAATTATATGTATTTTATTAAGGTGGTTATATGAATTAATATTAATAATTTTTATTTAAATGATTTTAATTTATAGACTAATAATTATTTTATTAACTTTTCTACATATTAATTATTCCTTAAGGCTATTACATATAAAAATTTTAACTATTACCTAAATATGGTTATGCTTAGTTTTATAATATACATGTTTATGATTAGTTTTATAACGGATATTAAATAAAATTAGGACTCTATATATTTTATTAATACATTTAGATTCCTTAAGTTTAATTAAATTAAGGATTATATCCATAAATATTATTTTAATTTAAAATATTTAAATTTTGCTTTTACAAAATATCGTTTTAATTTTAAAATGTATTATTATAATAAATTGGCTGTTGATTATATAAATTATTAAATTATCTTAGATTTTAATGAACGGTTTCTTATTACATATATAAACCTTTATATTATTCTATTTATTATTGTTATTATATATACATAAATTATAACTATTGCAATTCATAGTTTATTTTTTAATCAGACTTAATGCTACTATTATTATGACTATTGTATTTTATTTTATTAATGGTATCTTTTTTAGGAGAAGCATATGAAGAATCTGAATTGATTTAAGATATTTGATTTTCTTATTTAATTATATGAGTATTATTTAATGATTTTATTTTATTTTTTAAATTAAATTTATTCTAATTTAAATTTGTGGATTATTTTCTTTTTTCATACTAATAATATTCAATTGACTGCTATTGTTTATTAACAATTTTATTATTATTATTATATTTATTTTAAGATATATTTTTAAATAATTGATCTTCTATGAATTATTTTTAAATGTTTTTCTTTTTAGCATTAATGTTTAAGTTTTCTCTCATTTAGGAAATTGTTTATAAAACACTAATATCACTTTCTTCGTAAATCGACTTTTATCTTTAGTTCATTTAATTTTTCTCAAATCTTTAAGACATTTAATTAAGATTTTGTTGGTCGGTATATAAAGCGTTTTTATAATCTTTATTTATGTCAATTAATATTTATTTATTTATAAATTTATAATTTTTTTTTACTTTATTGTTTTTTAATTGATGATTGATTTATTTTTAAAAAATCGTCATCTTCTTAATCTAAAACTTTTTCTTTGTTTTTATTTAAATTTTATTTTATTTTATAATATTATAAACCTTTTAGTCTTTTGGTTAATTTACAATTATTTAATGGCTTTTAATTAAAAAAAATTAATCTTTAGAATAATTATTTTAATCGAACTTTATGAAATTCTTATTATTATTGCTTATTTTTGTTATTTCTTTTAAAGGAGCTTTTTATGAATAATACTCTTAATTTTGCACATTTAATAATTGATTCAATTAAGATTTATTTGGTTCTGATATTAACTAGGAATTTTAAATATAAAATTAATTTGTTTATTAATATTAGCTTTCTTAAAATTCAAATTAATTTTA